AAAGAAAAAAAAAAATAAATTCTCTATAAAAATAAATATTCTTTTCATTTTTTCGACTCATAGCTGAATATTTCATCATATATATGTACTTACATACAAATTTAATTAGATATTTAAAAATGTCTAAATCATCGTGATAAAGCATTTTTTCTCATGAAAAATGTTTTGGTAAATATATACATGAAATGGTAAATTAAAAAAAAAAAGAAAAATTTCAGAATTCCAAACGTAAAAATTTCAACTTTTTATTCAGAATCAGCTTCGAGTGTGGAAAGATAGTCAACTACCCCCCAACGATCAGCTGCTGATTGACGTAATCAAAAGTATATATACATATATATATATATATATCTACTACATGATGCAAACGTTTGTTGGCAACTTTTTTTTTTTTTCTTTTCGTGACGTATTACACTTACCAAAATAAATCACCTTGGCATTAGAAATTGGTGCAAGGTAAACATGCATAGGTATAGAGATAGGGTGAACGGTATCATTGCCTTGATCTGATTTTTTTTTATCTAAAGAGCGATTGCACCTCTTTTCGAACACACGAGTAGTGAACGACATACATTGGATACTTGCATTGCCAAACGTGAGTTGAAATAAATTTAATTTTTGACAGTTTTGCGAAATTTCATCTTCTGATATCATACGTTACTTACACAATCTTATACAGTAAATATTGTATATCTTTTTCTGGATTCTGTTAATATGCATGTGGATACTGTACATAGTGCTTTTGTAAACTGATGTTTTTATCTCAAGGTAGTTTGTTGCATGTACAATCATGTTACGGTCTGATTTTAAATAAAAATATCATTTTCAGGTAAAAACTTTGATTAAAAATGTCGTGTATATTGGTCAAAAAGTCGACTAACATAAATTACATAAGCCTCCTGCTTCAGAGATCGATTTTTGTAATTTTACAAAAGCAGTGCCATAGTTCTGCTGATTCAAGCAGTCCACTGGAAGTTTTGAAGAAAAAAGTTTCCAAGGGAGCATTGTTGCATGATTCCCATCAGTTAAAGATATCGGAAGAGTTGCAAACAGTTTATGAAAGCGTAAAAAACTATGTACCTGAAAAACCAAGTCTATTGTCCAAGTGGATTGGCAAAGGCAAGAAAAAGAAAAAAGCACCAAAGGGACTCTACCTCTATGGAGCAGTAGGTGGAGGTAAAACAATGTTGATGGACCTTTTCTATAATTGTTGTCAGGTATCCTAACTCTGAATCTTGTGTGTATTGCAAGCAGGAAACAGCATCTAGCTGGTAGCCAAATTATTCCTCATGCAATGCATATGTATTTTCCTACTTATGTATGAAATTTGAACATCTTTCTTACACGTTATGTCTTGTTTTTACGAAACAGATGAAAAACAAAAAGAGAGTTCACTTTAATTCTTTCATGCTGGATGTACATAGCAGAATACATGAAGTTAAAAAAGGCGTTGTCCGAGATCATAGTACTACGAAGCTTCAGCCTTTTGATCCAATACCACCTGTGGCGGCTTCCATAACTGAGAACACATGGCTTCTTTGTTTCGATGAGTTTCAAGTGAGTTGATAAATTGTAATGATACCAAGTAAATTGTTACATTTTAGAAAAAAGAGCATTCAAAGTAAAAAGAAAACTATTATTTTTACCTAGGTTACAGATATCGCTGATGCCATGATACTTAAAAGATTGTTTACTGAGCTGTTTGACAATGGAGTTGTAGTTGTTGCAACGAGCAATAGAAAACCAGATGATTTATACAAAAGTGGGTTGCAAAGGGGAAATTTTATACCGTTTATTCAAGTATTGAAAGATCATTGCAATGTGTGCACTCTGGACTCTGGAATAGATTACAGAGCAAAAGCTCTTTCTGGAAATGAAGAGCATTACTTTATGTAAGTTAGACAAAAAAATTGTTTCAATTAAATTTTTCAATGCTTACAGTACAGGTACGAGTTTTCTCTCATTATGTTTCTCGACTTGCAGACAGGGAGAAGAATCTGATAAAAATATTGAGAAAATATTTAAATATTTGTGTTCAATGGAAAACGATGTTGTGAGGTCGAGAATCCTCAGCATCAAAGGAAGAAATGTTACCTTCAGCAAGACTTGTGGTCAAGTTATGGATTCTACTTTTGAAGAATTATGTGATAGACCACTCGGTGCTAGCGATTATATTGAAATATGCCACGCTTTTCATACAGTCATTATCCGTAATGTTCCTTTACTTAATTTAAAACTTAAATCCCAAGCAAGACGATTTATTACTCTCATTGATACCATGTATGATAATAGAGTAAGTGCAATTTATCATTGGTACTGAGTAAATGTATTTACATTCATGTATGTATATTTTTATTTACATTAAAAAATTTCAGGTAAGAGTCGTGGTATCTGCAGCTGCTCCTTATAATAAGTTGTTTGTTCCGGAGGAAGAAGATCAGTATACTGATGAAAAACGAATATTAATGGATGATTTAAAAATATCACACGGAACAGTAAGTTAAATTTAATTTAATGAATCGCATAAGCTCTTTAAAACAATTATTGGGTTTATCTATTGTGTTTGTAGGACGATCATCAATCAAATATATTCACAGGTGAAGAAGAATTATTTGCATTCGACCGTACAGTGTCTAGACTGGCGGAAATGCAAACTAATGCATACTGGAATGAATGGGAGCATCATAGATAACGATGTTACACGCTAGTCATGATTGTTTTTACATATACTTAACGTAGATCGTTAATTAAACGAATCGAGGTACAAATATTTCCAAGGACGAAATATTTTTTTTAGACGTCAACCGTTGTATTACTGTTGTGATACTCATAAAATGCCTGTACTTACACAATTACAAAAAAAAAATAATAATAATTCTGTATGATTGACCATATTGTTGAAAACCTGCCCCTATTTATTTATTTATTTTTATTCCTACTGTAAAACAAGAAACAACGATTTTATGTAAATATGTACATGTCCGTTCAGAAATTCATAAAAAAATAAATTGCTTTGTTTAAAGCAACTCTATTGAAAATTGTCAATTATTATTCTGGAAGTTTATAGCCTTTCGAAATTCCCGCGATTGAATCGTCAACTTCTTCCTCTTTTTTTTTAAAGGCGTGTTTTTTTTTTATGCACGACTTGACATAAGTATGACCATATTGAAGCAGATAAGTCTATGTAGGGGGTGCAATATATCGGTGTGAAAAGTATATACTTAGATCGTAAAAATAATTTTGTACAAAAATGACGGCTGACAAAAATATAATTGCTCAGATAGGTCGACAACTTATTAACGCATTTTGCCCAAGTTTCGATTTGATTTTAATAGATGAAACTCTACTAATGCTTTAAATTAATTTTATAGAAAAAGCAACAAGTGTAGTTATTGATGGTTCCGAAGTTGATACTGAGGTCAAGAAAATAGTTAATGCTGTTCATGCGTTGAGCAATGACGATAAAGTGAAAATATTACTGCAAGCTGTAAATCGTATTGATTTGACAAGTTTGAAGGGAGGCGAAACGTTTGAAGATATCAACAAGTTGTGCCAAGATGTAAGTTTTTAAATGAAATTGTATTTCAAGAAAGCAATTTTAGGGACATTGAATGATAGGTATATATTTTTCACGGATTAGGCTGAGTGCAAGAATTTAAATGATTTTCTCAAACAAGATAAAACAGTTTACACCGCAGCTGTTTGTGTTTATCCTGCCAGTGCACAAGATGCAATTAAATCCTTAAAAGATTTGAACCTCAGAGATAAAGTAGAAGTTGCCAGTGGTTTGTATAATTTCAAGGAGTTACTATTAATTATTTTTCAACACTTCAATATTATCTCTGTACGATTTTTATGCTATTGTTCAAGCAGTAGCTGCAGATTTTCCAGCTGCCAAGCTCCCACTTCAGACTCGCATCGATGAAATCAAACTTGTGGTCGGATATGGAGTGGATGAAGTTGATGTTGTCATTAATAGACAGCTGGCTCTTGAAAACAATTGGCTGGAGCTCTATAACGAACTAAAATCAATGCGCGAAGCTTGTGGTAAGGCAAAGCTGAAGACTATCCTTGCAACTGGAGATTTGCCGGATGTAAAGCACGTTTATGTGGCCTCGATGGTAGCCATGCTAGCTGGTTCTGATTTCATCAAGACATCCACGGGAAAAGAAACTGTGAATGCAACCCTCACAAATGGTGTTGTCATGTGTAAGGCAATAAAAGATTACTATGCCATTAGTGGAAGAAAGGTATTTCATGAAAAATCAAGCTTATTGTTTCGTGGCAGATATGGAAAATAATTAAAACTCGCATGTATTTTATAGATCGGTTTGAAGCCAGCTGGTGGCATTGTAACTGCAGAAGATGCCTTGCAGTGGATGACACTTGTTGACAAACACTTGGGAAAGGAGTGGTGCACAAAAGATCTGTTTCGAATCGGTGCATCTCGTGCTCTTACTAACATTATCACGGAAGTGCAGTCACTTTCAGCTCACTAAAACAACACTAATAACCGAGAGAGGGGCTACAAAAAAAAGTTTAACAAAAAATGTCTTTGTTAAAAGTTTTTCTTACATTGTTGTATTTTTGTACGATAAGCACTTGAAAAACCAATAAACGATTGTTTTTCAATTTTTTCCAAGAAAAAAATATAAGTTTGTTGAAAAATCCCAAGATATTATTAATTCTAAAAATAAAAAAAAATATAAAATTCACTTAACTCACCTTCAGATTTGAATTGTCAGCCATATCTCAAGATTTTGGCGCGTCCCTCTATACTTATCGCTCTATTTTTCAGTTCTCTCTTTCACTGTGGTGCGCGCGTGTCGAAGCCAAAACTCGCAGAAGCCAGCGCACTCCAACAAAAGCGGCTCTTTTGCATTTTGACGAGGCAACATGGTGAGTGCGGCCGAAGTTTTCGTTAAAAAATCCACTCGCATCGATGAATTATTGACAATTAATTGCCCGACCATCGCGAAAATAACAAAGTCAATATCTCGGAGGACGATTTCGCGAGTGTATTTAGTGCCGAGAAAATTTTGATCGACCTAAACAGCCAGCAAGACTTAACCCTTGTCTTAGGTTGAGTTACTCACACATTGGTGTAGGAACGAATGTTGTTTACAAATTTTCTTAACTTCGTAGAATCTTTGGCTCGTTGACGAGCAAAGTTCGCGATTGTTATTTTCGCGCGCGAGTAACAACGAATTTCGAGATGTCTTTTTTATAAACAACGTGGCAACGTAACCTAAAACTCAAGTGTCGGTAGTCAATCTCGTTGCGCGCGGGTGTATCAAATTGTTTAATTCATCGAGTGCATCAGTTGGCTTGACAGTATAGCGATCCAATTGAGTTGTCACGGTAGTGGTGATTTTTTATTTTTTTTTCTCCTCAGGCCCGTGGACCAAAGAAGCACTTGAAACGTCTCAATGCGCCCAAGGCATGGATGTTGGACAAATTGGGTGGCGTTTACGCCCCACGTCCATCCACCGGTCCACACAAACTTAGGGAATCGCTGCCCCTGGTTGTGTTCCTCCGCAACAGGCTAAAGTATGCCTTGAACAATAAAGAAGTGACGAAAATTGTTATGCAGCGACTCATCAAGATTGACGGTAAAGTCAGAACTGATGCCAACTACCCTGCTGGATTTATGGGTATGTAAATAGTACTTGTAATGTTGTTTAATGCTTTCCGTTTGCTTGTTGTTGATACATTATTTTGAATAAGTGGTAGGCCTTTATCGAAGCTGTAACATACTTATCCATGTGTGTTTTAGTCAAAGTATGGCCGAGAGTAAATCCTTTCTTTGGTCACTGATTAAGTTGTTAAATATTTCTTCAGTATTACCCAGACAGGATACAGCTATAAACTTTAAAAACTTTCAAGTGCATCATATAATTGAAGTAGCTGCTAATAGAATAATTTTTATTTCAGATGTTGTTACGATTGAAAAAACAAACGAATTCTTCCGTCTCATCTATGACGTCAAAGGACGTTTTGCTGTTCACCGCATCACACCCATTGAGGCCAAAGTAAGATTAATATCCTTACAATATTTTGATATACTTTTGGACAAATTGTTTATTTTACTCTGACTCTTAGTACAAGCTGTGCAAAATCAGGCGTGTCCAAACTGGGCCCAAGGGAATCCCATTCCTTGTCACACATGATGGTAGAACCATCCGTTATCCCGATCCTTTGATCAAGGTGAACGATACTATTCAGCTTGACCTCGCCACAGGAAAAATCCTCGATTCCATCAAATTCGAAACTGGTATGTATCGATGTTGAGAAACGTTTAATATGCTCTTATTCTAGGAATTTTATGAGTATCTTTTTTTTTTCATCCTAGGTAACTTGTGTATGATCACTGGAGGAAGGAATTTGGGTCGTGTTGGTACTGTCGTTAACCGTGAGCGGCATCAGGGATCCTTCGATATTTGCCACGTTAAGGATGCCAATGGCCACACTTTTGCCACCAGGTAGATTTCTTATCAAAGTAAAATAAAATTTGGCTATAATCGAAGCTGAAATTTTTTTTTTCATTAAACATTTCAGTCAAATGTTAGCCAATATAAAATTGATCCTTCTTTAAGGTCACTGGTTGATTAGTATGTAATCTTGCAGTATTACCCTAGTAGGATACAGTTTCAAAGCAAACAAGTAATCGTTACAATTGTTCAATCACAATCTTTTGATAAAAAAAATTTCAATTTTTCAGATTGCACAACGTATTTATCATTGGCAAGGGCACAAAACCGTACGTCAGTTTGCCGAGAGGCAATGGTGTCAAGCTCTCAATTGCCGAGGAACGTGATAAGAGGTTAGCCGCTAAGGGAGTCGCTTAAGGGAGTTTATGTAAATTTTCAACAAAATTATAATAAACCGAGTTTTTGTCTTGGTAAATAATAAATTATTTCTCTACACCTACTCTACTAGATTATATATATATATTTTTATTATATATATATTATTCGGCGACATCAATCGAATGATTGAAAACACTTTTATTTAAAAACTAAATATGTGCATAATGTTTACATAATTACATTTAACTTTTTAAGCGCTTAACTTTGTAATTCACGTGTTAACGCATCAAAAGACTAGAGTCGAAAGCTTATGATTTTACAAAGTCATAAATTTTAAGGCATCGAAACATACGTACAACAATATCACAATAACGCGCACGCAAAACTCGCACCCACTTACACTTGCTACTTAGACATATTTTAAAATTGAACACATGTAGTGGTCAACAGATGAAGCTACAGTTACTTGTTGGGTAGCCAAATTTCAGTACCAAGGTCCAAAGCGGCTTGCAGCATGTTGTTGCATTTGTCGTCGCCTTGCTTTCCAAATTTACGATGTACATCTTTGGCAGTTTTCAAGAATCTGAAAAATTTGCCCAGCTATTAATTTTCACCAATACATGTCGATGATTGAACCGATGTGGTGGTCATCATTACTTTTGAACACAAAGTACTGTATTTTTTATCTCCTTTTCAACGTCCCTGTGAGCTTCCGAGAACTCGGCGCCAAGCTCGACAGCCTCCGACTTTAGCCGCAGCGGATAGACGCGTATCCAAGCACCCTCCTTTTTACTGGGCTTCCTCCAGTCTCGTCCATTGTCCCAGGCCGAATTTTTCGATTTCTCCCGACCGCCTTGGCCCTTCGGTCCCTTACTTCGAAGATTTTTCTCCGCAAACAACGGATTGTAACGCGACGACTCTGAGCACAAGTCCGACGATCGCTGCTGAAACTTTTTTTGATAAATATACACGCAAAGTTACCGTTAATTGTCTCCCCAAAATTACAAAGCTTCGAGTTACCATGGCCTTGGTGGCACCGGAGTAAAGGTTGACTATCCTAATGGGATCCCGAGTCATATTGCACCTTTTTTTCAAACCCTTGCATTTACTTGTCTCGTCCTCCTCTTCCTCGTCCACGCTTTCGGAAGCCCAAATGGTGAAGAGCGAAAGCCCAGTGTTGCAGACCGGAAGACCCAGCAGGTCGAACAAATCGTGCAACAGGGGCTTCTTAACTTCGGAGTCGACCTCGCAGTCGTTGCTCAGCGCAGGACTGACGTTCACCTTCGATCACGCGACAATGAACAATTCGAATCCAACCGAAGAAGGGAAGAAGAAAAACCATTTGTTTTTTTTTTTTTTTTCACCTCCAACAGCCAGGGTTTGAGATTCGCGTCGATGAGTACGTCGAAGCCAAAGAACTCGAAGCAGTTGGAGGACCTCGGAACGCTCGCCGCTTGGCTGAGGACGGTCAGAGTCACGATGCAGGCTATCCGCTGCCACAGGAGCCAATCCAAGTAGCCGGACTGCTCGAGGTAGCGCCTCAATTGACGGAACGTCCACTTGCACCCTGTGCGACAACACCAGCCGGTTAACGTACGTGACGATGTACCTATTGTATTGTAAAAAAGTTTGACGGAGTGACCAGCGCCAACTCGCTCCTTCTTCTCGTAGTAGCCGGGGCCGAGTTTGTTGAGGGAAAAGTTGGTGAGGTGGCGGAAGGGATCGTCGATGCTGTCGAGAGAAAATTTTTCCGTGGCGAAGCGGACTATGCCGTCCCGGTAGAGGTAAATGGCGAGGGGCCGGTACGAGGGCACGCAGACGTACAGCCTCAGGTCGAACTTGTAGCCGCCTATCAGCAGGGGATTTTCGATGTAACGCTGCACCACCGCCACGCTGTCGTACGTCAGGTCGCTCAGTTTCTACACACCAGGTGAACGCATGATTCAATTATGTCGAGTTTCATTGTCCCTATATATATTTGGGTTTGGTAAAGGTACTTGCGCGAAATAAGAATATTCCCCTTCCCTGGCTCTGACCGACCGGCTTGCAGATCCACACTCGGTCGTCCTTCTCGAGACGACCGTACTCGGCTGCTAGTCTCGTGTACTCCGACGGAAGATTGTACCCTACGGGGCTTTTTCATACATATATTTGGTATTTTTTTTTTTTTTTTTCGTCCATTAGAGCGAAAATATCGAAAAACGATAAATATATACCTGAAATCGTAAATGTTGCCGTAGACCTTCTTCATGCACTTCAAGTGCCTCGCGAGATTGTCTTTCCTGCAGATCGAGTTGCCCTTTGGTATCCGGTTTATAAACTGCAATTTAATTGTTTATTGATTTTTTCAGTTATCATATACGCCAAATCAACCCATTTGTACCTGCCAAGGGAGCAAGGATTTGTAATGGCTTTGTGAAAATCCTCCCGATTTCCACCACAAGTTCCAACGATCCTTGAAAACGTTGCTCTCGCCCGTGTACTCCCGCCAGCCTCTCTCCATGCAAACCTATTGCAAAACCCAGTTACAACAAGTTTCACGATTTACATTCAATTTTTTTTGTTTGAAAAAAAAAAACCAGTGCAATTATCGCTTATTTTCTCTTGGGAAAAAAAAAAGTATCATCCCCGCGTGCGCATAATCCCTCGAGCCTCCTTCCTGCAGTGAACTGATGCTCGTTTTCCTATAAGTATACCATGTATGCACTTATACTCTCTCCAAACGTACGCCTTTGATTTATCGTTGACTCATTCCTCTGCTCCCTTTTATTGCGACTATTATTATTTGCAAAGTATATACCTATACCGCGTACAGCACAGTGGGAGCTTCAATTACAATTAAATCGGGACGGACGCGCGCTTCCGAACATCTGCAGTGTACATTGTACACGGGTAATCGCGTCACGGAATGTTGTACCTATACGTATTTTTTATACCTGTACGGTTTATTAAGCACGAGACTTCCGTTAAGTATGAACTTTAAATGTTTTTAAACAAATAAGCGCAAAAATTTTCTTGATGCGTGACTCAATTTTTTTTTTCTTTCAAATGTACTGCGGAGGGATTTTATCGTCCGAGCGATCGAAAAGAACAAAGTTTGACAAAACCGCAAAGTTATAAATAACTCGATGAATGCGTGCGAGAAGTTTGAAATTACGTTAATTGCGAAACGAGGTGGCTTTTTAACGAGGGTATAAAATTTTTATGCGCTTTGCGGAATTTCAAGAAAAATTTATATCCTCTGAGTGTAAGGTTCCATGCCCAACGAAAATTAGCGTCCTCGAATGCCAAAGACTGGAATTTCAGGCCGAATTCTCTTGGGGTTGATCTTATGAAGATCATGTAATTTTATTATTTCCTTTACTCGAATATATGGCACTTCATGAAACCTCGACAAATCAGGATAAATTATTTTCAACTAGAATTTTTTTAAATAACAATGGTCGTTTTAAGATCTTAAATTGAGAATTTTTTTTTTTTTTTTTTTATAATCTATTAACTTTCCGAGCAGTTGATGGATTTATATTTTATCATTTTAAAAACAAGACTTATTAAAATAAAGAATAGCAATTAACGGATTTCAAAGTGGAAATAAAATTATCTCATACAAACTGTTGATTTTTGTCATCAAGTAAAACAGTTGAAAATATTTTAAAAATACGGTAGACATGCCGCAAAAACTGCTCAGCACATATTATCATAGTGAAGGCACATTGCCGAGTTTTGACCTTATCTTTGGAGCAAATTGGTATTTCGTTATGACACTTCATTGCACGATAGAAAAGAAAGAAAAAGAAATCTGACGCTCAGTAGAATTGTACAAAAACCAAATATCCATAAAATATACGTGTATAGGTATAAAAATCATCACCTGAAGCAGAAGGTGAGGCCCAACACCGTTATCGTTGAGCCGAAAAACAAAGGGCCCATCGATCGTCGTGGTCATAACGCGGTGATCCTCCGATCGGCGCCTCCTTCCCTCGTCGAAGCGGCGATTTTTCTCCTCAACCCGACCAAATCGATGCCTCTGCTCTCCAACTCGTCGAGTGTCACTGTATCGTGGCTCCTCAAAAAAAAAAAAAAAAAAAAAAAAAAAAACTATCCGTCGATCGGATGTTTCGTGCACGCGACTACTCGTCTCATAGGTGTCGCGAATCTATCTTCTCTGCGCCGATGATAGTGTTTTGTACATTCATACGAGTACCTGCAAACAAGCATATACATGTGTATATACGTACGTGGGTGTCATGCGAGACTTTCGTGTGTGTACAGTAACACGGAAATTGTCGCTCTTAATATAGGTTTACCGAAAAAACCGCGCGTTATTTGTTTCGTCATTTATTTGAAGTACATTTTTGGGGACAAAGTGCAAAAATAATCAATCACCGCACGAGCGACGAAGACCCGTAACCGTATGTATATTTTAAACCTCTTAAATTGGATGGATACATTTATATCAATACCCTCGTGCATGTATTATTATTGTAACCTTGACTCCTTTTATCATCCCTCGGTTCGTGCGATCGATTGAAAAAAAAAAAAAAAAAAAAGAAGAAAAGAAAAAAATATCCAGTTGACGATGTCAACTTGAAAATTTATCACGTCAAGTGTTTACTGTTCATCAATGTGATGTCCAAGTCCTCGAGTTTACTTTACTTTTTCGCATGGCATTTGTTGAATCTCGCGACAAGCTCGAAAAAGCACTGCACGCGGTGTTCCTTGAAATTAAAGTACAAAATGTTGTGGGATGTATATTTGGTAACGCGCGGATTTACCGTGCACGGGGGCCATTAATTCGTGCTTTTATCGAAGAGTTGTCAGAAGTTGGGGCGCCGATGATGAATGGCATAAATTTTGTAATTACGAGTTGCGTATTTTCGGAAAAGTTTATGCGGAGATACGAGGTGCGCGGGTAAATTTAAGAAAATTCGGGGGTCAGAGAAAAACAAGTTGTGTGATAACAAAGTGGGTGGATGTGCTCGAGAGAAAAAAAAAAAAAGTACCCACTTGCGTGCTAAGGGCAATAAAGAGTACAAAGAGTTTCTAGATTCTTTTTTTTTTTTTTTTTTGTTAATTAAGTTTATTTATCATTCGAGCCCATGGAGCATCTAAATTTTTAGTTTCAATAAACACGTGGCATTGAAAGTGTCTATTTCGTTGAAACCAAAGCCGATCCAAAGTTGGAGAAAGAAAACAGGGAGTGATATAATTTTGTAGTTGTCTGCAGTCGTGTGTACGTAAACGTATACATCCAACAATCAACTACGCAAGTAAAAGTACCAAAGTAAGTAAGTATTTCGATGTAATCGCTCCCGGCTATACTCTATAGGTTTAGATTAGACTAAACGAGAAAGTACACATGCACACGTACGCAGTGCCTATAAACATTAAAAGCAACGACTTGCGAGAGATTCTCGAGGTTACTCGTCGTATTTGGATCAACAACTTTTAGTTTTTAATGGTAAGCATATGGAGCTTTGCTAACAAACTTTTTCCTCGTCTCCCACTGCACATGAGATTTTTTAACAAATTATTATTATTATTATTTTTTTTCTATTATAATCTTTTTTTAACCACCTTTCCGCGTTGAGGGGGGTTGATCCGAAAAGTAACACCATTCCTCATCCTCCGTCACTCAACTAATTATCCCCTGACAACTAAACCTACCTACCCCTGAGTTGTCCTGTGATGTTTTAGAACAAAAAAAAAAATCTCTCGTTGCCAAGATCTCTCGAACCCTACAAGACACGTACCTTGGTCAGCCGGGTTGCGACTATACATCAATAAAATATAACCACTTGCCAATGATACTTTTTACACATTTTTTTAATTACACGTAAACACATGTAGACGCAACCTGGAAGGAATTAGTTTACATAATATTATGGAGTACCTTCGTATGGTGTACTTGTTCAATGTACAGTAAACAAAAAAAACACTTCACAAGCTTTGTACACTTTGGATACAAACCCGTCGAACAAAAAAAAAGCCAATTATTCATCATCGGCCTCCCTTACCCCCCTACACTCTGTTCTGTAATCATAAGTAGTTTCACAAAAAAAGCTATAGGTATACATGAACAAACACGCGTCCATCCTATCGCATAGCAGCATGCAGTCCTTCCGGTACAAAAGCCCCTCGACGCTCTCCCTTTTCGTCGCCAGTACCGTCTTTTTCCTCCGTCAACCCTTTTTTCTTTTTTTCCTTTTCATCCGGCTTCGAAAAGAAATAAAAAAAAAAAAAAAAAAAAAAAAAAAAAAAAAAAAAAAAAAAAGAAAAGAAAGAAAAACTCGACTCGCAGCAGCGGCACTATGCACGCGACTCGGTATCTCAATACCCACTGGCTGGCCCCGCACGCGATATCACCGCTCTTTTCTCTCCCCCCGAACAACTGCTCCCCTTACTCATATCTATGGGTTGTCATATCTATATACACTTGTACCCTATATATAAACGACCACATATATATTGCACATGTAATACCTACTTGATACGATTCCATATATTTTTATATCTACCTGTTCCTACTTACTTTCATATGCACTTCAACTGACTCGTTCGCGACTCGTCGAGAAGTAGTAGGGTATACATGTACACGTGTATAAATATGTATAACAACATTCGAGTGTACCTACGATGTTTGTTTCCGTGTTTGCAAATCGTCACCGTTCCCTCAATATGGTGCTTGGAAACTCTGACTGCACACGAGGCGCAATTTCATTCGCGGTATTTGGAAAAGTGCAGGCTCAGAACTGAAAATGATCGGTATCGATACAGGTATGATCGTTTCGCGCGTACGCGAGTGATGGATATATACATTGCGTGTGTGCGTGACATGCACGTACTTATGCGGTTCGGATCTAAATGCCCGATCTGCTTACACGGCGTTTACTATTATTATTATATTTTTGCTCGTTAAGGTGTATAGGACGGGGTGGGTGAAATTTTATGAATTCGCACGTGTGCGTACGTACAAAGATCGGTATCGAGATCTACGTGCGATTCGCCGTTGACTATGTAAGGTTCACTCGAAGAATCCGCGCTCGGCTCCAACGGAGGACTGAACGCGTTTTGGAGGCCAAACCAAGCGGCTTTGGAGTCCCGATGGTGCATGCGCCCGTGCGGGTGAATTTTTCAGTGCGAGGGGGACATTTCAACGGGGGTATATGTATACATAACATGTGACATTATTGCAGGGAGCGAAAGAAAAAAGGAAGCAGAAACCGCCTCGTCCCTGAAAACTTTCGACGAGATGGGCGAGTTTTTGAACGGCAAAGGGAAGCGAGACCTCATAAGGTATCGTCCTTTTTCCTTTGGCTACAAGCCTATATAAATATGTACGGGACTCACTTCGCGACTACAGTGACTTTGGCAAATAACCTCGTGCAATTAGCTCGCGTGTATATTATATGCCCTACTTGACGGCATGGCTTAATAAATTGCGTGACTACGTGCTCGAGACCCACGTTTTTGGATGAGCAGAGGGGGAAAAAAAGACGCTGACAATAATGTCACCAAAGTTATTTGGAAAAAAAAAAAGTATTTACTTTCGGCACCCCTTTGGAATTTTTGTACTATTATTAGCTGGACGAATTTGTGTGCCTTACATGTAGGAAAAAAAAAACAAAAAAAAAAAAAAACCCTTTGGCGTGGGGTAACATTCGTACGTACAAATTAATCGAACCCGACTCGTCGTGAAGCAAGCGTGCAAACACCAGTTGTACGTATAACGCGTGCATAGACGTATCACTTCCGATACCCCCTTGAACGCCACTCGAACAAAAGTTGCAAGTGAATCGCGTGAAATCAACCCCCAAGTCAAACCGCACTTGGTAAGCGCTTTTCAAACTTACATCCCTGAATGTATATGTATATACACACCCTAATAGGTACACGTATACAAAAAGCCAAATATATCCGCGAAGTTATTTTTTCTTGCGCGCCTATATGCATACCGTATACGTCACCGAATCCTCATGCGGAAGTCGTTCTTGGATTTTTTTTTTTTTTTTTTTTTTTCATCACACGGCACTAGACGGACAACGAAACTGACAGAACTCTCGCGTGACGGGAGCACACGTGGGGTTGTTTGCTCGACGTGATAATGACAAATCGATTCGATGGTATGTACGATATACTAGCACACATGTATGTGCATATACGTAGGCTTAAAATAATCACATGGCATGTGGGCGATGATGTACACGTTGTATCTGGTATGTTTTCTCCGAGTGATTTGTGCGGTTGGTGCGTGTTTCGATTTTTATGTCTTTATCGTCACGTTTTCGTATTCCGGGGTGGAGTACATCGATCTGGATAATATGTATTGTGTGAAACAGCTATTTTGGACAATTACTCGGGGAGTGGAAAAGGAGTTGACAAACTTTTTGGACGTTTCAAACATTCCAACCGGTTAATATAGGGTTCAGAGGACCAGGAAAATCGGGTAAACAGCGGAAACAAAGGTTTGTTGTAATTAACTTTATTTTAAGCAACACATAACACGGATGCGTACAGGCTTCGTTTCGTTGCCTTACACAGCTATATGATATATGATAAATATATGTATACATGTATAATAAATTTTGTCTCCGAAAAATCGCGATTCTGTTAAAAATTTTTTCACAAACTTGCCAAAAAAATACATCAATTGAGCGACTTGACGATCCGGTGTGATGTCTTTGAAATATTTTTAAAAAACACCACCTTCATCGTTCACTGTTTTCATCGATGTCAATTTTCATTGGTCAATAAAGTAGCTTAAAATCGAAGCATCCATTAATATAATATATGTAATACGTTATAGCAAAAAACCAGTTTTCGCATGAATTTTTAAATTAATATTTCCAGCACAAAGTAGACTTCGTTAAAAATCTCTCATCACGCGCTCACATTCTCACGTCGTAATGAGTTACTGATTACGATGTTCTTGTTTATTTATTTATTTATACATACATAGTTGTTTTTTTTTTCATTTTTATTTTTCATCAAACGCGCGCATTCGTTCATTCAAATATGCATTTACCCAAGCCAATGAGAAAAAAAGAAAAAAAAAAAAAAAAATTAATTTATTTTTCCCCGACACCTCTTTTTAAAGTCGTTCACTATATGTATATGTATAATATGTCAATTGACCTTCGTTTTGTATATTTTATACTGGCAAACAAACAACAGCGCGAGCGAGAGGGAGGGGCCTTTAGAGCTTTTATTTATCCTCGCTCACCCTTGACTCTCGTGCGTCCAATGTATGACCGCGCAAGCTCTCTGGCCCCGATTTTTCGAGCTCGCTAAAAATTATTCGGCGATGGCACGTGTTTCACACACGAGAGGTAATAACAATACACGCGCTCTTTATCAATATTTCGAAGAGAGGGAGAAAAAAAAGTATCCTCACAATTACCGAGTGGTAAAAAAGCTTGGGCTATTGTCTTTTTTAAATTTTCTCTCTTGCTGAGCAAAATTGCTCTTGTTATAACATGTATGGAGTTAAAAATTTAGCTTAAAATTGAGTAATCACTCTCGCGCTTGCGGTTAGTAAAAATTTTCAACTCGACCTCGTCGGACGTTCTCTCTCTCCTTTTTTTTTTTTTTTTTTGTTTTTTTTTTGTTTTTGCAAAACACGCGCTTCTACAAAGGTCAAATTATTAATGAAAAAATTTTTTTCATCGTCAATACAATTTTTAGTTTAAATAAACCCATCCTGACATGTTTCACTTTTTTTCCATCGATCGATCTAAGAGAAAGGGCGAACCAACGTAAGCAAATAGCAAAAAGAAGGGGGGAGGGGGGAAAAGAAGCGCTCGAGAGAACGACGAACGGGTCGAGAATCGAGAAAGTTTTTTAATCGCGTCGGAGGGGTCGTTGTGCACATACACATGCATATATCGACTGATTCGTCGTCATTCGCGAGTTTTACCCAACATTATTTGCCTTTGTCCCTTATCTACAAGTTACAAGTACTTTCAAGCCTTACAGGAATACAAATATATATATGTATGTATATTATGGTTGTTGGATTAAAAACTACGATGCTCTCTTTCCTCCTCGTGCGATCATCGATTCGCACATGTACACTTGCTTCGGATTGTCGGCGTGTCAACTACAATTGTCTAGCGCGCGTGGTTTTTGCAGTACGGACGTCCGCCCTTTGCGTAAAAGCTCTGTCCTTCGAGGTTCTTTTTGCACATCTGTAACAAGGAGCCGCGTCTTTATATGACACAAAAGTGCTCATCGAGCGAGGAAAAAAAAAAAAAAAAAAAAAAGGAAATGGAATAAATAATTACCGTGCAGTTGAAACATTGGCTGTGGTAGTTGTTGTTGAGCGCCTCTACCCAGCGGTCTCCCGCCTCTACTGGGAAGCCGCAGGAGAAGCACTTTGTCGTGAACAGGTCATTCCAGTCTGTGAAAAAAAAAAAAAAAAAAGGAAAATTTTACACCTTTATAATACGTGGTCATTTGAAGATTCATCGACATCATCGCAAGTACGGATAGAGGAAATGGCTGCTCGGTGATGTTTTACATATAGGCGTGGATGGAATGATCGGTATGGGTGATGTTTTGCGAGCGATGTGTATAGCTGAATCGTTAAATCGTATTATCAAGCAAGAAGATAATTTGTGTTTGTAGCATCGTAGGGTAAGCAGAGTGTCGAGTTTAATCGAATTTAATCGAATCAGCTACGTAGTAAAAAATGAAACCTTTTTCGCAATATGGTAGTCCATCTTCGAGGAAGAATGGACTGTTGCCGAAACGCTTGCAGCAGTGAGCGCAGTTGAAACATTCAGGATGAAATTGCTTTCCGATGGCGTTCAGACAATCCTAAAATCACGTCGACATTGTTACAACATCTATTACCTACGTGCTTTATTATTAATCCACATTTCACGTTTAAATGTGCGATCGACACACATACAATGATTAAAATGATCTGCGCATAAGTGGATAAATTAATGAGGTACGCACTCCTTTGATTTTGTTATTGCACTTGTTACACGATGGGGCAATGAATCGTTCGAAACAAAATTCGCAGTACAGCTGTCCCTTTTCCTCGACGAAGCCGATGTCTTGCAGAGTACGCCGGCATTGCATGGACGAGCAGACAAAGTGCTCGGGGCACCAGATCTGACCAAGTGCCGATATGAATGGACCCCTGCTTGCAAACGTTCACGGTATATTACTTTTATACGTATAATAATTAACGATAATGTTGTGCGACGACAACAAAGTTGTTGCCTTATTATAAATGATTAATAAACGTATGGAAAATCAAGACAAACCTCGTGATTTCGACGTTACATTGACAACAAACGGGTTTTAGTGGATCATCCAGCTTGTATTCGTTATTTTCTCCGTTAACTGCGCAAACTAGGCAAACACATGCAACGATTCAACTGTTATTTGCAATCTCCACACACAAAGGCACAAACGTGTAACATCATTACAATTATTATTATTAAAGATACATTGAGCAAATCATGTCCTCGCTGGTAAAGCTGAATAAACAGTGTAAAATCATTATTAGAAAAACACAATTATTATTATTATTATTGGATGACTTCTTGGTGAAGAAGTTTGTTGCCGTGACGGTTGTTCGTCCACCAAAAACAAAAAAAAAAAACAAACAAACAAACTGGTCCAAGCTGAATAAATTAACGGTAAAAGTCGTGCTGCTGAAAAGAAATCGGAATCGCAAAATCTGAAAACAAAAGGGTTTCGAAGCGTGCGGCCATCAACTAATCAACCACAAGAACAGCGCAGCCGAAAGAAAAAAAAAAAAAAAAAAAAAAAAAAGCAGCAGCACACGTGGTAACCAACAAGCTCTCGTTCGCCTTCGCGAGCGTCATCATTGGTAGTACCTGACTTGGGAGTTGCAGGCCGCGCATAGCGGGACGCGCAGTCCGGATCCGGCCTGGTTGAGGATGCCCCTGCCGCGGTTGGGGGCGCTGCTGCCGGCGAAGACGCCTCCACGGCCACCGGTGCCGTTGCCGAAGCCACCTGCACCTAGATCCGGGTGGGATGACAAATTTGGTGGGTCTACTGAACTCTGGGTCTTAGTAGTCAGGCATGAGCGGGTGGTCTGGGATTGACACAAGGTGGAGGAGTTGTTTGCGGTGGTGGTGGTGGTTGTCTCGCGGCGGAATCTGTTTTGGTTGCACTTGAAGTGCGAGTCGGTACGGCAAGGCGGCGGTGGCGGTGGCGGAGTGCTGGCCTGCTGGGGCTTGTAAAGCTGCACGGTGGGTGTGGTCGATTTAGCCGGGACGGGCGACTTGGTGGTCTCGCGCTTGCAAAGCGTAAGCGTGGTTATCTGGTTGCAGAGGTTAGTGCGAGGTTGCTGCTGGGGAGGCTTGTGTATCGGCTGGAAGCCGCAGTCGCGGCCCTGGGAGGTCGAGGTGAACTTGGTGGTGGTGGTGGTGCGCGTCGATTCCTCGGGGGGAGCTAGGGGACAGCCCGAGCAGTCGGGTGTCTCGCAAGGCAGGGGTATCTGGGGGAAGGGCAGCTTGGCCCGAGCCGCGCCCAGGCACTTCTTCTGTATTTTGCACACCGGCTGGGGACACTGGACCGAACGTACCCCGGGGATGGGCGTGCATTTCGTGGTGATGGTCCGCGTGGTCTCGACGTTGCCGAGGCTGGTCGTGCAGCCACCCGAGCTCGAGCCACAGTAGCACGACGGCTTGTCGCAGATGCCACCCGACTGGGCCGGACACGGGGACACGTTGACCCCAGAGCGGTCGGGGGTCGGGGTCACGCAGACCCCGGATGAGCCAATACCGTCGCACGGCACAACGACCACACCGGACTTGCACACGGTGTCGCTGTGGGCTCTCACAGGCAAAACATGAACCCCGGTCATTGGACACGGCTTGGGCTTTGGCGGTGGTACCTCGTGGCAGATCCTACGGACCTCGGGTTTATTGTTGTTCATGGGAGCGAAGACGCGCACCCCGGTCTTTTGGATGCGGTCCATGACGCCGTTCTGCTGTACCGGACAGGGCAGACAGGGTGGACTAGCGCTGTTACGGGAGATGTAGCAGGTCACCTCGACCGACGGTTCCTCCGCCTCGGGAGCGGGTGCTGGTGGCTCGTCGTACTCCTTGAGCCTGTGCTCCATTTTCTTGACGTGGTGGCTGCCGTCGCACTCCTCGGTCACGGCGTCGTCGTGCTCCTGGAAGTGGGCGTGTCTCGAGGCACCCTGTCCCACCCAAGAGACCGTCTTTCTGGTTATGGTGTCCTTGGTCTTGTGTCCCTGCGGAGTGTCCTCCTCGAAATGGTAGCAGTGCGTCTCGGTCTTGTCGTCGCCGTCGTCGTCGTCGTTGTCCTTGATCCTCGGGGCCTGGGCCCGGCAGGTGGGCGTGGGTGATCTGGCAGCCGGGTATTCCTGCGAGCACACCGGGGCTTGCTCCTCGCACACCAGGTACTTCTGGTACGAGGGTATGGCGTCTGGCTTCTTGAGCCCGGAGCAGGCGGAGAGCCTGCCGCTCGTGCCGCAGCTTGGGGTCTGGGATCTGTCGCGACTGGTGGATCGACACGAGGGCGAAACCGATCGGTTGCGGAACTTAAAGTCCGGAGGTGGGGTGGGCAGCGGTCGCGGGCCCTCGGGCCGTTTGGGTGGATCTTTGGGCTTATTGCGGAAGAGGAGCTCGCAGGGTTTGGCGTAGCCCTCGTAGGTGGTCATCATCTCGGGTGTCTGCGAGCGACACTTGCAGTAGGGCGGCACGGGCTTGACTTCGCGGCCCAGAGGGGAGTAGGGTCGGTCCGAGGCGACGGTAAGGGCCTCCACGAACGGGGATACCGCGCGCTCAGGCACCTTAGGTTGGCAGCACTTTGAACAAATGGTGGTCTTCTCGTAGGTGACTTCACGGTGGAAGACCTCTCTGGCGGGCTCCTTGCTGAGCGCGAGGGGCTCGTAGCGCCGATCCGGGGCTGTCGTCAGAGCCTTGCACATCTCGGACCTGTACTCCTTCGGAGACGAGTTCTCCAATGGCGTGAGTGGACAGACTTCACCGCTCTCCATCTGCTTGACGAACTGCACGTGCTTTTTGGTGGTGCAAGTTTGCTGTTGGCTCTGTTGCTGCTGCTGGTGCTGAGCGAATCTTGAGCAGAGACGGCGCTCCTGGAGACTCGGCTGGCGCTTCATCGGGGCTTGCTGCTCGCGCAAGCTCTTGTGAACTTCGACCTGTTCGCGCAAGCTTCTGCGGCGCTGTTCCTCGTAGTTGTCCCGCTTGACGCAGGTCTCCTCGCGGATCTCTCGCGTCTGGCTCCTGCAAGCCGGCGGTGCCGCGGGCTTGTCGGCCTCGACCTCGACCTTGATGATTCTCTCGCGAGACGGTGGACGCGGCAGGGTCACGCTCGTCTCGTACTGGGTGTCGCAGCTCGTGTTGCTGCTGCTGCTACTGCTGCTGGTGGTGGCGCACGCGCAAGAGGCCCCCTCGAGCTTCACGTCGATTACGCGCTCGCGAGGGGATCGGTACTCCTCCTTGATGGTTTCCCTAGTCTCCTTGGTGTAGCAGACCTTCTGCTCCTCCTGCTGCTGCTGTTTCTGCCTCCTCTCCTCTTCCTCCCGGCGTTTTTTCTCCTCCTCCTCCTCCTCTTCCTCCTGTTGCTGCTGCCTGCGTCGCCTCTCTTCTTCCTCTTCCCGGCGCTTCCTCTCCTCCTGCTCGCGAGCCCGCCTATTCTCTTCCTCCTCGCGCCTGCGATCTTCTTCCTCCTGTTTGCGCGCCTCTTCGAGCATCTTTTGGGTCTCCAACGCCTTTGTCAGCGACTCGGAGCTTTCGGTGTACTGCTGTCTCTCCGAGAAGCCTTCCACCTCCCTGTCCACGGTCGACGATCTCTGCGTGTATTCGATCTGCTCCTGGCCCTGATCCCCAAAGGGTGGGCCCATCTCTCGGTCCGGCGACACGAGCTCCATCGTCTTTTCGTAGGTCGTTGTCTTCTTGATGTGCAGATTGCCCTTGTCCTCCTCCTCGGTTTCCGTGTAATAGTCGTGCTCGGCGTCCACCCCCTTGGGACACACAGCGACGTCCGGCGGTACTAGTTTCGACAGGTCGACCCGCTCCTCTTGGACAGGCTGGGGCTCCGGCTCCGACTCGGACTCGCACACGAATTTGCACTTCTGGGAGCTCGTGCGCTGGTGCCGGTGCACACTGCCCTCGGTCTTGCAGACGTCCTCCTCCCGGTGCTCGTGCTCCTCGTGGTGGCGATGCCCGGCAGGTGGCGCCCGCTGGCAAACCCGCTCGCGCTGGCAGACCTCCTTCTGGCAGAACTTGCGACAGACGTTCTCGGGCTCGGGCTGGTACGAGGACTCGAAGAGGTTTGTACCGGAGGTTACGGTCGCGGTCCACGGCTGGGGACACGGCTGGCTAATCCTCGTCGGGGTCAGGGATCTTCGGACGGTGTCGACGGAACTAGCGCGCGAGGAGGAGGACCGTTCGCAACGCGTCTGGTTCACTATCTCGAGGCACTTGTACGCCGGGCCCAGGCAGCTGTACTGATCGGACATGTTGCTGCTGTCCTGCTGGAGTTGTATGAACTGGTTCGACGACTTGACCGCTTGGGAGTTGTGGCGACGCCTGATGACCGACTCGACGGTGGCCCGGCGCTCGCGACTGACGCGGCACGCGCGCTTGTCCTGTTGGATCGTGGGGTTGGGATCTATGTAGATGGGACTGGCGGTCGGATAGGTTATGTCCTCGATGCGCCTGACGGGGGGCCACTGGGGCTTAGCGCGCGGCGTCGGCGGCTTTTCGCCGGCTCGGACCGGCCGGCAGACCTCTTGCACGAACTCGTACGTGCAGCACTCCTGTTGCTGCTGGTACGAGCACGCGCTCGGCTCGCGACGCTGTTGTCTTTGCTCGCAGCTCTCTTCCCGGTATAACGTGGAGCTTTCTGTCTTGGCGCGACCCACCGGTGGTGGAGTTTTCGGGTAAGGACAGACATTTGTAAGGAGTGCATGGTCGTAGGCAGTGGTTGGCACAGGTGGTTTTTTTTTTTTTTTTTTTGTTAGAGGGTGGGGTGTGGGTTGTAGGCGCACAGTTCGAGATGAGGTGAGTGTCGAGTTAATTTTTGTATGAGTCACACGCAGTTTTTTTTGTTTTTTTCGACACACATGGAGACAAAGCGGTTAGGGGGAGCAGTGGGCGGTTAGATCGAGTTAGAAAGAAAGAAAAAAGAAAATTCAGGTGAGTAGAAGCGCGTTAAAGGTTTCGTTGCTAATAGTCGCTCGATCTTTCGATCCTGGATGTAAGCAAATTAGTGCAAAAGCGCTTATATAGGTGCATTACAATGGCTCGTGACAAAGCAAATATAAAAGCGACATCGATCGAGCGACTGCAAGCAAGGTTTTAGGATTTGCTAGCTCAAGAGATAACGCATTAACACATTTTACTTTTTTAATCAACGGGTTTAATGGCGCTATCAGTATCATTATTAATATATATTATTATTATTATTATTATTAATATTAAATATAATTTTGAATAATATTATCATCATCTCTATCATTTATATTTTATACAGGTAACAGAACATTTTCATCAAATTTTCGATTTGTTAATAACAAAAAAAATAAGTATTCAGATAAAAGTGCTCTGTTTTTAGTTGTAAAGATTAAATTAAAAAGTATATGTAAAATAATGTAGTATAGCAGTTTTCTTGGATCATCAAAAACACTCGCATCAATCACACTAGAAAGAATTATATTATATGCAACCTCTGTGGTATAATCAGTTTGATCAGTCGTGTTTGTCTGATTATTATTATTATTATTATTATTATTATTGCTATGATTATTGATATTAAAAAATAATCGAAAACAGTGTTGTGAGAGAAAAAACTCTGATGGCAAAAGTAAGAAATAATAAAGAAATAAAAAAGCAACTACAAAAACCACTCGTCAGGAATTACTTATAATAAGAGCTACGAGAAGCGAAGAAGCATTAAGTGTAATGTACAAGTACCGTGGATGCGTGAAGAAACTAAAACAACAACCAAAATTCGCACGATTTTACGTTTTTATTGTAGGTACACCTGTGAGAGAGAATATATACATGTGTATATACATACATCACATCTTAAACCGACCACAAAAAAAAAAAAGATAAAATAATCACAAGTGTAAATTATGAGTATTGTTAAAAACAGATTAAAAATAAGTTAATGTTATTTGTTGAACAACTTTCTCGTACTCCGATGTTTTTGCGAAACACTGATTAGACAAATCGTAAATCAGGCGAGAGTCCAAAATCAACAAGTATGAATATTAATCAATATTATTATTATCATTTTCATCATCATATTCATTATCATTGTTTTTATCATTATTATTGTCATTATTACTATCATCATCATCATCTACATCAACATCCTCATCCTCATTATTAATATCATCATAATAATTATCGTCATTGCCATCACTACAATCATTATAAGAATCGTCACTAATATCATCATCATTGTTATGAATGTTATGATTATTATTATTATCAATATTACTATTATTATCATAATCTTTACCATTATTCTTATCAGTACCATTATCATTATGTTCATCATTAATAATATCATCATCATCATTATGATTATTATACTTATTTTTATTACTAGTATTATCAACGTCATTACCATTATCATTATCAGCATCATTATTATCATCATTATGACTATTATTACTATCATCATTATTATTATCATCATTAACAATATCACCATTATTATTCCTATTATTATAATACTTCGATAATTATTAATANTTGCTTCTTTTTTTTTTCTTTTTTTTTCTTTTTTTTTTTAATTTTCAATCAAAAGTGAAGTGCGTTAATTGTACATGTTGAGAGCTGCCACGTTCACGCGATGAGGGAAAAAGGTCGGGGTTTTGTGTTGAATGATGTGGCTGCTGAAAAGAGAAAGAACAACAATCATGACAATCGGCAATAATCTCAACAACATGGATTTGATTGTAATAATAATCGGCATCGTTGGCCAAGCTTTTTCAAACAGAAACATACACACAGATATACGTGATGTAGATAGAGAGAAAAAAAACATTCACGATCGACCCACCGGATGAGAAATATGCATTATACAGTTGTTATTTCAGAGCTTAGTGGCTTGGCGAAAAGTGGTTGCATCAATAACAAAAGGCATACAGAAGAAATCGGCAAACCGAGAGAGCTACGTGTAGCGAAATTGCAAGAGTCGAGAGAAATTATTTAATCGGGAGCTAAAGAAAAGAATATCATAATATAGCTGTGCACTCTGTGTATATATACTGTACCTCGAGTGGGAGTCGAGACAATCGTGGTTGGCAGCTCTCAAAACGACAGCGCGACGCGTCAACCACTACTTTTCGATGAGCCGATTTTATTCGACGACGACGCGGTTGTATCGTTTTCTCGGAAAGACATGTAGGACGGACACGATTGGAATTCTTACGCGGAAATCGTTTTTCCAACGGTAGGTAGCGTGTATTATATTGCGCATGGTCATTAGAGATAAACGTGCGATTCGCAGGGAAATCGATTGATCGCTAACCATACAAAGCCAAAATTGTGCGATTTGAAAAAAAAAAAAATCGTTAAACTTTTACACAGATACGCGTCATCGATTAAAATCCCTGCATGAAGTATTCAGCTGCGGTCAAGGTCAGTGGGCGGTTAAAGAAAAAATTACCAAGAGAGGAAAAAGTTAAATAAGAATCGGTCGGTATATCTCGACGTTTTGTTGGCGGTAGAGAAACAGAGTGTGCAAGTATAGGGGAAAAAAAGCTCACGGGGGAGGGTATAGCCAAGTGTATTTTAATGAGAACTGAGGGGAGAAAAAACAGTGTATAGAATAGAGCGATGATGAGTATTTGTGTTACGTGATTATTGTATTAAATGCGCGCGAGCCGCGATGTATTATATGTATATGGTAGATAAAAATCGTCATCTGCTTCATGAAAATAACATGTCGAGCGTACCTTTGAAGGGAGAACTTTTCGGCTTTGGCAGAGTTGAGAAACGACCTATATTTGTGCAAGAATCGAATTCAAGGTTAGATTCAGCACTGCGGGCGAAGGCAAATCGTTATCGAGTTTGCCGACCTCGATCGTTTCGAGAATGATTGGACTGTCTTATATTTTTGCAAATCTTTCTCACTCAAAATACGCAGTCCTCATCAGAGTATTGTGTTTTTTTTTATTTTTTTTATTTTTTATTCCATACCGATCTATTTACACTGCGTATAATTACGAATAGTTGCGTTTCGTACATAAAATCGTCAATCATATACTTGTAATCACCTGTAGGTGACCGTGGGAATAAACTGTATTTCGATGCACGTTAAGGTATAGTCAAAGGTGAAATTTCAATATATTGTTATATAACAAAATTAATAAGAGGCGCACACGCGAAACCTCTAAAAAAAGAAGCGCTCGAGCGCGGCGCCAATAACATTCGATCCCTGCAACTACAGGTACATAACATATAATGTGCATCAAAATAAAATTCATTACCCACCAAGTGTGCTCTAGTTATGTATACTGCGAGTAGCGTATGCTTATAGTGATACTTGGTAGTTATAATTATATTACATATTTATAAGTATATGTTACACATTACGTACAACAATGTAATTACGAGAGTTTTTTTTTTTTTTTTTTTTTAAATAATATACATATAGGGGTGTAAAAGAACTCACCAGTTAAGGACTGACTCTGAGCGCGTGGGAGAGTGCTGCTTCCGTGGTTGATGACGGGCGATGACGTGTAGCTCTGGTTCGCGATGCTGGAGCCGAGGAAGGGCTTCGGACCGCTCAAGTTGTTCGATGTAGCCTGTTTTTTTTTTGTTTTTTTTTTTCCCCACCCAAACACATGGATCACCATTAGTTACACTTGCTATACGAGACTTTGAAGGTATATCTATTGAATTCATGAATCTTTGAAAAACGCAACAATGATAACGTAATAATAATGGAAATAAACTGAAAATTGAATCGTGAATTTTTTACGAACGAAAAAAAAAAGAAAGAAAGTAATAAGATTGCGATTATAACGTTAGATGTAAGGTAGAAACAGGGGGAAAAAAAGGGGGGAGGAAAACATAGTAATCAGTACTTTACTAACAGTGAACATAATGGCGATGATAATGTGGCGCTCTGAGAACTACGCGTAACTTCATCTAAAACTACGGTTAAAAGTTTGAAAGAATGTACTTTCAAAGATGAAAAAAAAAAAAAGGGTGAAAAGAAAAAGACACTGCAAGAGAAAATTACAGCGAGCGTGCACCAAACTAGGCGAGGAGAGTTTTGGGGGCGGGGGGTGGGTGTAAAGAAGAAGAGACGAGTGTCTTCGGGCGAGTCGTTACCTGAACTGACCGAAAAGTGGGCCGATCGAAAGGAGAGCTGCCAAAGCGACTGGGCTGCAAAAGAAACCAAACGCACGGGGTCGTTATATCGAGAGAGGGGGAGGGACAATGCCGATATGACAGCTCGAGGAGGGGGTGGGTCGTTCGTTGTAGGATGCGCGGATCGCCTCGCAGGCGTAAGACGATGGCTTTCACAATCGCGACTTTTTATACCGGGCTCTTCTCACTTCGAGCGAGTGGGTAGGGGGGGGGGGGTGTCGATGAGTGGGTGTTATTGGTCAATAGGTATCGAAAGTGAAAGAGAGGAGGGGGAAGAAATTTTTACGACGCGGCTTCAATGAAAGACGGTTTCGTTCATGAACAGGAAGAGGAAGCGCGTACGCGCGCGAGATGACCTTTTTTCTATGTATAGATAGGTTTTTTTTTTT